TCAATTGCACTGTACGTGTGCGCCCGCACGTGGCATTTTGTGGAAGAGCCACACTCAAGGGGCCAAAGAGCTGCATGTGGCTTGTGAGCCGCAGTTTGCCGACCACTGGTATAGACCAATAGTGAACTCTCAAAAAAAGAAACGAAAAAAATAACATTTACATTTACCATTGCAAAAACGTTAAGATATCTAGGAATAAACTTAACCAAGGATGTAAAAAAAAACAAAAAACAACTGTACTTGAAAACTACAGGACGTTGAAAAAAGAGACAGAGGAATATATAACCAAATGGGAGAATATACCATGATCATGGATTGGTAGAATCAACATCATTAAATAACCATACTACCCAAAGCGATCTATAGATTCAATGTAATCCATATTAAAATAACAACAGCCTATTTCAAAGACCTAGAACAGACACTCCAAAAATTTATATGGTATCAAAAAAAACCCGAATAGCTGGAGCAATCTTGAGAACAAAGAACAAAGTTGGAGGAATCACAATACCAGATATCAAGTTATATTACAAAGTCACTGTACTCACAACACCCTGGTACTGGCACTACAGCAGGCATATAGATCAATGGAACAGAACAGAGAACCCAGAAATGGAGCCAAACCACTATGCTCAATTAATATTTGACAAAGGAGGCAAAAGCATATATTAGAACAGAAACAGACTCTTCAATAAATGGTGTTGGGAAAATTGGACAGTTACATGCAAAAAAAAAAAAAATGAAACTAGACCACCAACTTACACCATACACAAGAATAAACTCAAAATGGATAAAAGACTTAAATGTAAGACATGAAACAATAAAAGTCCTAGAAGAAACTATAAGCACTAAAATATCAGACATCTCTCATAGCAATATGCTTATTGATCCATCTCCTAGGAAAATGGAAACTAAGAAGAAAATAAACAAATGGGACTACATGAAAATAAAAAGCCATCACATGGCAAAAGAAACCATCATCAAAATAACAAGAGACCTGGGTCTTCAAGATGGCAGCCAACAGGATGGCAGTGAAGAAGAGAGTGTCAGTGAGTGAGGGAGCAAAAGTTGAGTGTGTAAACGTGCGGGGCATGTGAGTGTGTGAGTGAGGGACAGTTAGATTCTGCAGGTCTTTTGGGGGCTGGCAGACCAGGCTCCCGTAGCCAGGCAGCCTCTGCTACTACTACAATCCCTCCAGGCATGGCCAGCTCTGCCGCAGAGGCCATGCCATCTTGAAGGGGAGAGCAGCTGTGACTGGGAGCTCAGCCTCACCTCCACACAGGGTGGCCTCAGACACCACCTGGGACACTACAGCCACACCAACCTGGGACCTGCTGCCTTGGCTGTGAACCCACGAGCACTGAGACTCCAGCCTCCCTGGCTGTGGGATCCTAAAGTTTTTCTGGGGAAAGACAAAATGGTGGCCGAGTAGGCAGATGTGTCCTGCCCCTTTTCAAGGAGCAGATAGAAGAAACAGATGAATCGAATAACATCCACCTGGAATTGGCAAATTAAACACAGCTGGGGAGACAATCTGTGGGCAGAAAGGTCAGAGGTTTCCTGGAAAATGGTACTATTGGAGATATGGGCTGGAGAGAGAGATGCCTGACTACTAGGATGAGAGGGTCAGAAGGAAACTGTGCTGCATCGAGTCGCGTCCCTTGGGAACATGCGTAACACTCAACTGTGGAAGGGGGTCCACAGGGCTTCTGGCAGCTGGGGAATCTATATCTAAGCCCACAGCCATGGGAGGTTGCACCCAGAAAGGCAGCCAGAAGTTCTGCACTGGCCATGCAGTTCCAGAGGGAGAGAAATGCACTGGCACGAGTGCTCTGCATTTATATTTTCTTTGCTTTTACTCACTAAACCCAGTACATAGGATCTTTCAATTACAAACATTCACCAAGGCTGAGGTGCAGGTGGAGGTGCAGTTTTGTGAAGGCTGGGGAGCAAGATAGGTAGAGGCAACCAGGAATCCAGCTCTGGGACATTCCGGTCCCTCCAGCCCTTAACAGCCATTTTTTTCTGAAGTGCCAGCCCCTTATGGCAGCACCCACAGGGCTACTAGTGCAGCCGCACCCAGCCTGGAACTCTGCCTGGAAACAAGGAATCTGAATACCTCCAGGGAGCCCTTGCAGACTAGGTTGAGGGGCCATTTGGTTCCAGAAACTAATATAGCAACACCCCCACCTACAGACCATGTCAAAATAGGCACTTGTGTAAATACAACTGAAAGCAGGCAGATGTACAAAGTGGGAAGATTGGTTTTGTCTGCCTGAAACCAAGGCTGTGGAGATAGACACAGAGGAGCGGTGGATCACTGGGAACTTCAACACGGTGCTGAATACCTAACAGGAAACTGAGAAGTGTCAGATAAAAGAGTAGAGACGAGTCTTAAACCAGCGCCCATGGGGCATTAAAACTCAGCTGAAGTGAACAACAGTTCACTACTTCACTTTTTTATTTTTTATCTTTTACTTAAGAAAGAAAAAGAAAAAAAATTCTTTATTTTATTTTATTCTTTAAACCTTTTATTTTTATGGAATGGTGTTCTTCATTCTATTTTTATTTTTTTATCATTATTTTACTTTATCTAATTTTTTCTTTTTTGCCAACCTTTTCTTTCTCACTTCTCCCATTTTCATCCTGTTTCTCTTCTCCTGTTCCTGCTTTAGTTTTTCTCTCTCCTTTCTTTTTACCCCTTGTTATAAATTGATCTTCTTCATCTGCTTTATTGACGCATTACTATTATAGTAGAATCTGTTGGCTTACTCATATATCTAATTTCTTCACCCCTGCTCCAAGTCCATGCACCCTTCTCTTTTCTCTTTCTTCGCTAGCCAATTTTTATGCTATTGCTTTTCTTTCCTCTCTTGCTCTCTTCTTCTCTTAATTGCTTACCTAGTTTCACTCACCAAACTCAAGCCTATTTGTTCTCTACTCTATTCTCCTTTTCCAAAAATAGATGAATATATAGATAGATAGATTAAAGGGAAATGTTTTTGTCTTTTATATATATACACTTTTCTTCTTATCCACTCATTCTCTTTCATCCTCCTCTATATATTCATTCAATTCATTTACCTTACTTTCTAGAAATACTCTCTGCCTCTTCAGAATCAGTTCCCCCTCTTTTTTTCTGGGTGTTTGTTGTTTGTACTTTTGGTTTATTTCTTTGTTTTGTGGAGTCTTCTCCCCATATATGTATATTTTCCTTTATTTTTCTTCATTTTCTTTCCTCTTTTCAATATCATTTTTGGACTCTTTTCTCTCCCATAGTTCTCTTTTCTCTGGTCATTTCTTGTTGAGTTGTATTTTGTGTCTTTATATTAACATGGTAGAGAGTGGGCCAATAACCAGACACCTGAGAAGTGCAAAAATTGGGAGACAATGAAACAACATCCATACAAGAAAGGAAGTAAACGAAATAGAGGCAAGCAATTTGTCAGAGAAAGAATTCAGAGCAATGGTCATAAGGATGCTGAAAAGGATGGAAGACAAATTCAACAACATGTGTAAGGATCAAGAGGAAATGAAGAAGAACCAGGAGTAAATGAAGAATGACATAATTGCAATAAGAAACACAATGGAAAGTATCAACAGTAGACTAGAAGAAGCTGAGGACCACATCAGCAATGTAGAAGACAAGGTAGGAAAAAATACCCAAGCAGAATAGCAACTGGAAAAAACAACAACACACACTTAAAAAGCAGGAGTAGAGAATAAGTGAGCTTTGCACAACATGCAACAAAACAACATCCACATAATATGGGTGACAGAAGGACAGGAAACTTAGCAAGGAATAGAAAACCTGTATGAAGAAATAATAACAGAAACCTCCACTGATAGTGGGGAAAAAACTCACACAAGTTTAAGAAGCACACAGAGTTCCAAACAAGATGAACCCAAAAAGACTGACACCAAGACACATCATAATTAAATTGGCAAACACCAACGACAAAGTAAGAATCTTAAAGGCTGCCAGAGAGAGACAGAAGGTTACCTATAAAGGATCTCCAATCAGACTATCAACTGATTTCTCAACAGAAACACATCAGGCCATAAGGGAATTGAATTAAATATACAAAGTGATGCAAAGCAAGGGACTGAATCCAAGAATACTATACCTAGCAACACTATCATTCAAAATTGAAGGAGAAATAAGGAGTTTCACAGACAAAAAAAGGGCTAAGGGAGTTTATTACAACCAAACAACCGATGCAAGAAAAGCTAAAGGGACTACTGTAAAAAAATGAAATAGAAAGGGAAGAAGGAACACAAGTATAAAGGGTAAAAATTGTGACAATTATCTAGCAATAATAACCTTAAATGTAAATGGATTAAATGCTTCCCCAAAAGAATAAGGTAGCTGAATGGATAAGAAAACATGACCCATATATCAGCTGTCTTCAAGAGACCCACCTCAGAACAAAGGACTCACACAGACTGATAGTGAAGGGATGGAAATTTTTTCAGGTTAATGGAAATGAAAAAAAAAAAGCTGGGATAACAATATGTATAACTGACAAAATAGACCTCAAAGTGAAGGACATAACAAGAGAAAAGGAAGGTTACTTCATAATAATAAAGGGAGCAATGCAAAAAGAGGATATAACTCTGGTAAACATATATACACCCAATAAAGGAGCACCCAAATACATACTAGTAAAAATATTTCTGGGTTATATCAAGAGAGAGATTGACAGCAATACAGTCATGGTATGGGACTTTAATACCACATTGAAACCACTGGATAAATCCTCTAAACAAAAAATCAGCAAAGAAACCTCAATCCAAAATGACTCACTAGATCAGATGGAATTAATTGACAGCTTCAGAACATTTAACCCCAAAGCTACAGAATATACATTCTTCTCAAATGCACATGGGACCTTTTCAAAGATAGACCACATATTGGGACACAGGCAAAGTCTCTTCAAATTCAAGAGGATAGAAATCATATCAAGCATCTTCTCAGATCACAATGGCATAAAATTAGAAATCAACTATAATAAAACAATTTAAAAATATCAAAAAATTGGAGGTTAAATAGAATGCTATTAAACAATGATTGGGTTACCAAAGAGATCAGAGAAGAAATGAAAAACATCCAGGAAACAAATGGCAATGAAAACAAAACAATCCATAATCTATGGGACAGAATGATAGCAGTCCTGAGAGGGAAGTTCATAGTTCTACAGGCCTACCTCAAAACAAACAAGCAAACAAACAAACAAAAATAACAAAAATGGTAATAAATTATATAACCCTACAACTTAAAGAATTGGAAAGAGAGCAAAAAGAAAATCCTAGAGTAAGCAAAAGGAAGGAAATAACAAATATCAGAGTGGAAATAAATGAGATAGACACCAGAAAGAAACACAACACAATACAAAAGATCAATAAAACCGGAGGAACCAAGATGGCAGCATAGGTACACACCTGTACTTGCTGCCTCACACAACCACATCAAAACTACAACTAAAAGACAAAATAGATATCCTCCAGAATCACAGCAAGGCTGTCTAAGTGGAAGTTCTACAACTAGAAGGAAAGAGAAAAGCACATTTGAGACTGGTAGGAGGTGCAGAGCTGCGTAAGTGCAGAGGTATGGAGGTGCGCATGAAACAGGCTGGCAACTGGGTGCGCTGTTCTCTTTTTCAATCTGGAGGGAGATACAAGCTACCGATTGCTCTGAACTCCAGGTCCAGGCAAAATGCTGGGGACCCAGATTCATACAGGGAGAAACTGGACTGTCTGGCATCAGGCAAGAACACAAGGGCGGCTTTCTCTCAGAGGTGCTTGCAACAAATCATTGTTCTTGCATGTGGCATGGAACGCGGAGCTGTAGGTGCCTCGGGGACCTCTCTGATGCAGTGCTAACTGGCAGCCGCTGCTGCTTGCTCCACACTAGTGATTCCCTGAGACCCCGCCCCACCTAATTTTGAACCCCAACCAAGCTGTGCACAGCGGCTGTTGCAGATGAATGGCCTGTGCTCTCACTGCCTAAAACCTAATAAACTGCAGCTGGGTCAGAGAGTCCCAGAGCTTCCAAAAAAGGCCTAAGGCTTGACAACAGCCTGTATTGCTACACAGCTGAGCCTCGTCTGGGCACCTCCAAACCCCAAATAAAGAGGAGGAATCTGCAGATGTCTCTGTAGCTTCTGCTGGGTGGCCTCAGCCAGTGGCTGACTTTGCACCTCCTTGGAGACCCAAGAGCCAGTGTACCCAGTGGTCAGAGTGGGACCATCCAGATTACAACTCCTCAGATCCATAAGGGACACACTCAGGGGGCAGACTCTTGTAGACACTGGTCCTCACAGCCAATTGGCCTGGTGGTCAATTCCCCTCAGTGATACCAAGAGCAATCAAGGCTTAACTACAACAAGACGACTCACACAGCCCACAAAGGGGTGCACCAAGAGTGTCTACCTCAGGTAATTAGAGAGGCTGAGCCACTGGGCCCTATAGGACACCTAACACACAAAGCCACTCTATCAACACAAGGAATAAGCCAAAATGCAGAGACAAAAACATGTCACAAATGAAAGAAATTGAGGAAAGCAAGCTACTGGATATAGAGTTCAAAACCACGGTTATAAGGTTACTCAAGAATCCTTTGAGAAATTTAGTGAAACCCTCAAGGATATGAAAAGGACCAATTAGAAATTAAGCATACACTAACTGAAATAAAGAATAATATACAGAGATCCAACAGCAGACTAGAGGATCCCAAGAATCAAGTCAAAGATTTGAAATATGAAGAAGCAAAAGACACCCAACTGGAAAAGCAAAAGGAAAAAATAATCCAAAAATATGAAGATAGTGTAAGGAGCCTCTGGGACAACTTCAAGCGTACCAACATCAGAATTATAGGGGTACCAGAAGAAGAGAGAGGGCAAGATATTGAAAACCTATTTGAAGAAATAATGACAGAAAACTTCCCCTACCTGGTGAAAGAAATAGACTTCCAAGTCCAGGAAGCGCAGAGAACCCCAAACAAAAGGAATCCAAAGAGGACCACACCAAGACACATCATAATTAAAATGCCAAGAGCAAAAGACAAAGAGAGAATCTTAAAAGCAGCAAGAGAAAAAAAGTCAGTTACCTACAAAGGAGTACCCATATGACTGTGAGCTGATTTCTCAACAGAAACTTTGCAGGCCAGAAGGGAATGGCAAGAAATATTCAAAGTGCTGAATACCAAGAACCTACAACCAAGAATACTTTATCCAGCAAAGCTATCATTCAGAATTGAAGGTCAGATAAAGAGCTTCACAGATAAGGAAAAGCTAAAGGAGTTCATCACCACCAAACCAGTATTATATGAAATGCTGAAAGGTATCCTTTAAGAAGAGGAAGAAGAAGAAAAAGGTAAAGATACAAATTATGAACAACAAATACACATCTATCAACAAGTGAATCTAAAAATCAAGTGAATAAATAATCTGATGAACAGAATAAACCGGTGAATATAATAGAATCAGGGCATAGAAAGGGAGTGGACTGACTATTCTCGGGGGGGAAAGGGGTGTGGGGG